TACAAAAATATCGAGGAGTTAAAAAAGAAAACCTACTTATAATTTCTGATTGTTATTAACAATTTTGAAATATTTTTATAGTATATATGACATTCGTAGAGTACTAATTTTGTATAGATGTTGAAATAAAATAAAAAAAACTAAATAATAAATTAAGATTAATGAAAAAAAACCCTATTATGAGTAGATTTTTGTGTTAAATAATAATTTTAATTGGTATATTTTTTAATTTTATTTTTAATTTAATACAGCAAATCTATTTACGTCATTGAAGTAGACTCTTGAAACACAGTCAAACTTACCATAATATGTATGTTATATAACTATAGCGTTTCCAAATTCATTAATGTGACATAATCAGAGTGTGATTATCACACATATGGTGCAAATCAAAATTGGCTAATACGAGTATCTCTATACAAATTAAATCAAAACCACTTAAACTATAGCAATTGTCTGTGATAAATCAACGTTGAACTAAACTCTGGTAGATAGTTATCTTTTTACTCAGCGTTTTGAGTGAATCTATCTTAATTTCTATTTTAATAGCCATACATATTATTATCTACTAGCATTGCCGGCGGCTCTGCCCGTGTTCAGATGACCAAAAACCAAATTCTTAGGCTTTACATATTAGTATACTCTTACATTGCCGTTTTTGTATTTTTTCTCAGAAAAAAGATATTTTCCTGCGGTAAAAAGTATCCTATATGTTGACTCGGATAACCAGCTATGACCATACCAAATTTCATCAAAATCCCTCCAGTGGTTTTTCTGTGATGCGGTAGCAGACAGACAGACAGACAGGCAGGCAGACAGACAGACAGACAAACAGACAAAAATTCTAAAAACTATAGATTCGGCCTCTGTATCGATAATAATGTTTATTTCAATAAGATTTTCTAAAAAATATTTATTGTATAAATTCGGCTTAGTTACAATTTTATTATATGTGTAGATTAAATTTAACAAGTGTGTATTAATTTGTGGTAGTGGAACGTGCGCCTGATTTATGCTTATTTATGCATTGTTCCAGTGTAAACGAATCTGCAACGGTTGAGTGATGTCGGTGACGATGGATCCTAATCATATTGATCTATAATTGCCTTACTAGACTTAGAAATTTGACATAAGCTCCATACAAATTACGACAACTTCTTATCTCGTAAGGAAAATCACAGTTAGATTATTGGGATTCACCGTAAATAGACACAGCTCTATCGCGGCATTGTATAAAAGCTTTCATAAAAACATACTTACTTATTTGTATGTGTGATACGCACGTGACGCTAGCTCCCACGGTGAGGTAATGATACTGGTTAAATAAAGAATAAAGGTGTTACTTTGGTTTATGTAGAGATCTGCATAAACCAAGAGAGATTAGGCAGTGGTAGCCCAGTAGTAACGCGCTCGCTTGGGAAACTGAGTGAAGCGGGTTCAAATCCCGGGTCTTGCACCTCTGATATTTTCATGTGCTAATCATTTCAAACATGATTACCACTTATCTTAACGGTGAAGGAAAACATCGTGAGGAAACCTGCATGTCTGAGAGAACCTAGCAAGTTTTCAAAAGACATGTGAAGTCCGCCAACCTGCACTTGGCCAGCGTGGTGGACTACGGCCTGATTCCCCTCGTACTGAAGGGAGGCCCGTGCCCAGCAGTGGGACGTTAAAAAGGGCTGAATACATGTAGAGATCTGTGGAAATCTGCAACCCCAAATCACAAATAAAAAAGCTTTATTATTAACTTTAATAATTTAACTTTAAGAGAATTACATAATGCAATTTGTACACTGTCATACTTCTAATGTTCCCAATTATAATGAATAGGTATAATAAATTACATTATAATCAAAAGACAATTAGAAGATTAGTGATAAGTTAAAATTCTTCTGCTAAGTATTTATAATACTTTGTTATTAATTATCTACTATTAAGCATTTTATAAGATAATTGACAAAACGGAAGAAATATAAGGTCGTTCATTAGCAGTGTAAGATGAGAGAGATAAAGAGAAACCTATTAATCAAGCGAAGAAACGACGGCTCAAGATGGAGTCACGTAGGTACCTACCTATTTCTGAATTTCAAACATTTATGTCGACGTCGTAAAAGTTTAAAATTCTACATAATATTAACATTAACTAGCATTGCCCACGGCTCCGCCCGCGTTCAGATGACCAAAAACGAAATTGTTACGTTTTACATATTAGTATACTCTTACATTGCAGTTTTTGTATTTTTTCTCAGAAATGAGATATTTTCCCGCGGTAAAAAGTAAACTATATGTTGACCCAGATAACCAACTATCATCATACCAAATTTCATTAAAATCTCTCCAGTGGTTTTTCCGTGATGCGGTAACAGACAGACAGAGAGACAAAAATTCTAAAAACGATTGATTCGCCCTCTGTATCGATAATAATGTCTATTTCAATAAGATTTTCCAAAAAATATTTATTGTACAGATTCGGCTTGGTTAGAATTTTATTATATGTATAGATAAGTAAAATTTTATATTCATTCTTATCATAATATAAAAGAAAAAAATGCGGTTTCACTAAGTAAGGTTTCGGTTTTCGATCGGACCCAAGGGACAGGATGTGACCTTTTCTTCCACTGTTGAAAGTTGATACGCTTCGTCGCTTTTGGATTGAAACGCTTTCAGCCTTTAAGTTTGAGTCTATAAAAGTGTGTTATAGCCGAGTACATGTAATGTGTAAATGTGCGTAAGTATATTGTAAAAACGAAATCTTCGATATTTAAGTATTAATTTCATGTCTTTTTACATCGAAGGATTTTTGTTTCCCTTATTATTATTTTTTACAAAAAAAATATATATATTTTTAATATGTTATACTAATGCTATTTAATAAACAAATCTTTTATTTATTACAATTTGAGGACAGAAAACCCTAAAACTATATGTGGACCGATGTGTGACTTGAACTCATAGCCTCCGGACCTGCAACCGTACATCCTAGCAACTAGACTTACAAGGCACTGAAGTTAATTGAAGATAATATTAATTGTGTAATTATAACTTATAAATAATCGTCATATATATACTAATAACTCGGGAACAATGATTATTACTAAATGATTGAGAACAAAAGTTTTCTCGTAAAAACCTTCAAAGCGGCTATTATTAGTTCTACCGAAAGATATATTATTGTTATAATATTTATTGTTATATTACATATATTTTTTATCATCAAAAATTGTCACATTTATAACATGAATATGGATATGAATTAGTACGGACTAGACCTCGCTTCTCCCGGGTTCATCCCTAGAGAAAAAAAACAAACGTATCCCACGGAAACCGTATGTTTTTCCGGGATAAAAGTAATTTATGTGCTATTCCAGACTATAATCTATTTCTGCGCCTTTCATCCAGATCCGTTCAGCCGTTGTGGCGTGATTGAGTAACGAACATCCATCCAAACTTTTGCGTATTACAATATTAATGGGATGGATTATATTAGTAAGATATAATGTTAATGATTTCAAAATACCGCCAATATGAACTTGATTTGACTATTTGTACGACACCAAAGCGTTAAGCGACAATAATAATTATTAACAAAATGTATGTACCTACACGTTAATTTTTAGATTTGTTGTTATTTTCACGAGATTTTACTAGTAGACAAACGAATTGGGTAAAAGTAAAAAAAATACCATTTAAAAAGGAAGGTATTCCACAAGGCATACAAGTACCGAATAACACGCGGAGCGTAGCGAGGGGCCGAAGCGAAGCGAAGGCAGATTTCTATAGGTAATAAATTAAGTTTACGCAGTACCTACAAGCATATCTACTTAATTGAAAACTTGATTATCGAAGTTGAAGTTTAAAACTCTTTCAATAACAATATTTCATTACATGAATATCGTATTTTAATTTCATATTCCTTACTATAAATATTCCCAATTATATTCTTTATAAATATTAATTATATTCTTTATAAATATTCCCAACTCCGGGCTGTTACTGAGGCTTAATATACAGAAAGACTCAATAACTCAACTTGGCCCGACCCGGGACTCGAACCCAGGACCTCCGGGTGTGCAGCCGTACATGCTAGCCACTACACCACCAAGGCAGTTAATATTATTTCACAATTATTTATACACTTACTTATATGTTAATGGAATAAGTTAATAATAAGCATTATAAATTGTAGCACACCACCACATTAAAATTAATTGAAAACAAAGAGTTGCCTTGGCATTTCCAACTTATCAAGCGAAGCATAAGTTTGCTTCTCATAATTTTGTTTCATGAAACCAACTTTGTGCCCTTAATATAGATGTAGATAGAAGGATGATAGGTATAAAATCGTAATTCTTTTTGCATGTTTGAAATTTATTTATATTTAAAAATAAGATTCATACTTACTAATTGCTTCAACTTTGTTCTTCAACAGATACTAATATATAAATCTAAAGAAATTATTTGATTGTTTGTTTCAACTGAGTGTGATTAAAAAATATTTTATCATTTATAGTTTACTAGCTATGCCCCGCGGTTTCACCCGCGTTAATTTTTTTTGATTATAAACATCAGTTTTACATAAATGTATCGCAGAAGTTAGGTAGTAGCAGGACGATATATAACCTATAGCCTACCTCAATAAACGGGTTTTTTATGCAAACAGAATTTTTCAAATCGGATTAGTAGTTCCTGGGATTAGCGCGTTCAATCAAACAATTCGAGCAACACTTCACTCAATCTACTGGGTCACATGCTTTTGAATCCCTTTGTGGTATAATTATTATTTATAAATTTCAAATCAAGTTGTTATATAAATTCAAATCAATTTGTTATTCTTACTTCTCTTAAGAAATAAAATCGATACTATTTTGATAGCAGGTATAATTTGATACAATACTTAGAAAATTTCTTTAAACATCATAAAAGTGAAGATGATACTGTCCATGCTTATATACGGTGACGCAAAGTAATGGCACACTAAAATATGAAAGCTTTGTCGTTAAATGATACCAAGCGTTAACGGTCAATATAAGACGGTGACATAATTAAGAACAGACTATACTAGTAACACAATATGATCCAGTAGCAAGCTAAAAGATTTCTTACGTTAGGCTGGCTAATGATTATATGATACTATAGTAAAATTTTAAATACCACTCTGTTTATTTATATACAGACTGTCTGTTTACATACAGACAATGCAAATCAACAGTAATAAATAGATTTTGTGACATTTACAAATCAATAATCAATTTTATAACTTAAGTTAGATTTTTTTTAAATTGATCTATCATGTTCATCAAAGCTTATTTGAAAATTCGTATTTCTTGATGATGATTCCTTATATGTCAATTCAGGATGTTAGTTACATTCAGGTAGTTAGTTCACTCAATCAGATTAGCAGTATGAAGAATTTATAAACACACCAATAAACATTCGCATTTATAATATTGATATAATTGTTTTAGTCCTCCTTATCGATTTCGGCCACGGCGGCCAATCTCACTGAGAATAGAAAACTGCGCGGAAGATATGATAGTGCACAAGTGTGCGGCGCAGACACCAGTGCATTCTCTCTTCACTCTCAAATTTCCATGGGACGACAGTTCGACACGACTGGGGAGCGATCAGGCGCAGGACCGACGGCTAGTTACGTGCTCCGAGGCACGAGAGTGAAATATCGCCAACTCGGGGACTGTTATTGGGAGTTTTTTAACAAAAGGGCTCAATAACTATACTTGGCCTGATTGGGGACTCGTGCCCAGGACCCCCGGATGTGCAGCCGTACATGCTGGCCATTACACCACCGAGGCAGCTATTAATACAAGTAGTGTGATACTAGCCAGCTCTTCCTGTGTGATTTCTCTTTAGTCTGCAGCCACTAAACATTATTTATTATATTATATATAGAGCCACGCATTAATTAATTAAAATTTTAGTGTATTTATAGATACAACCCCGTGATATTTAACCGACTTCCAAAATGGAGGAGGTCCTCAATTCGTCGGAATCTTTTATTTTATGTACGTATGTTCACCGATTACACGAAGACGCCTGAATCTATTTGGATTTTTTTTGTTTCAAAGGGTATATTTTCCAGGTGGTCCCATATAAATTTTATCGAAATCGATTAAGCGGTTATTTTTAAATCAACAAATAAATTATTTTTTTAAATAAATTGTTTAATCTACCATGTTATTAAAAAACGTTCTTCTAACCAATTACCTGCTTATTACGCCTACACTAAAAATTGACAAATAAAAACTAAAAAAATAAAATAAAAACCGACTTCCAGGAACTAAAATGTAAATAATAACTAAACAGGGGTTTTCATTTAGAATAGATACCTAATCAGATATTTTCGAAGTCGGTGCCAGCTGACAATATTTTAAGTTATGAATATCTAATAGGTAAATATGTGTTTTACGTATCGAAATATATTGGATTTGCTTTGCATCGGCTGGCACCGTACCGTACAATCGTAATAAAAAGTCGCATTTTCATAGTCAAAAAAGTCAATCAAAAGGTCAATAGTAGATAAATTGTATAACTTGAGATAATTACCGTCACCAAAGTTCATAGGTCCCGAAATTATGGTGTCTACATAAATGTCACCATTTTCATTGAAGTAATTATAATGTCTTTACTACATAGAAGGTAGAAATTGTAGTCCTATTTAGTCCAACAAAATCAATAGGTTAGCTCGCTTTGTATAATAGCGTTTAGAATAGGAAGCTCAAGTTTTAATATCTTTATGTAGGTATACTAGATAGTGGTTACAATGTAATCTAATATATAAAATTCTCATGTCACAGTGTTTGTAATAAACCCCTCCGAAACGGTTTGACCGATTCTTATGAAATTTTGTGTGTATATTCAGTAGGTCTGAGGATAGGACGTAAACTATTTTTCATACTTTTAAGTGATAAGGGTGGACCATCTCAAAAAAATGTTTTTTATTCTTTGAACAAAAATTTTTGTTTTTATTTTTTTTATTTATTAAAAAATACATACAAACCTACATTTTCACTAGGGACGAACCCGTTGTTACATTGTTGTTATGTATGTATGTCAATGTAACCTAAGGTCCTGGCAGATACGAGATCTGTGGATTGTTTTTATTTGTTTTATCTCAGCCTATTGAAGTCCAATTTAGCAACCCTGTTGCCCAGTTAACAGAACCAGTTGGCTAAATTGAAACAAAGCTCGGAATTCACATTGAATTCACATTTTGTTGGTGGTTTTTGAGATAACTATATTTACTTACGTGGATTTAATGCTAAATAAATACGAAGCTTAAAAAATATTGTTTCATTTCACTATAGACATTTTGTGAAAATCTAAAAAATATATATTTACACTGCGTTTGAAAAAAATGCTCTAAATTACCAGACTGTCCCCTATTAAGATATGTTAATGAAAGTTTTGAAAATTATTATGTACTCAAAATAACGCTAAAAATCAGCTATTGCACACTCGGTAATATATTATCCATGTGTTATTCCAGGTCATTGTCTATCTGTGTACTAAATTTCATCCAAATTCGTCCAGCGCGAAGAAGTAACAAACATACATACACATAATTTTCGCAATTATATTAATTAGGCTTAAGGAATAGGGAAAATAATTAAAAAAAAACATGGTTTATAATAATGATAGGAATTATATTTAAAACAATATTAAGAGGTACCGTAGGTAGCTGAAAGGAAACGTCTTCATAAAATTCTTATTGATATTTCATTCTTAAAAATATTTAGTACCTACCTTATTTTCTTGACTACAATCATTGATCACAGTAAGTTCTATTGTATCTAAGTTTTGATTGTATTGTTAAGTATTTTTACGTCATTAAATTATAAAAACTTAATAATATCTTACACATTATAAAAGATAATTTGGTTTATCAACTAGGTAGTTTCTTATACAATATACATATAACCACACTCTTCATACAAAAAATAAGGGGGTGTAAATACATCTCTGAAAATGTAACAACATAATAAACATATTATTAGCATTGAGTTAGAATGTTGGAGTCAGTCGAGTCACAAAACTAGGAAGGGTCCGCGCGAGGCAGCTAAGGCGGGGCGCGACGTCGTCGAGCGCGACGTCCACAGAGCAGCCGCTGAAAAGCGTGTCGGAATTCAGGACTGAACACTGTGTATATCACTGGATTCAAAGTAGAATTAAAATAGCCTAGCCACAAGGACAGCGATGTAAGAACTGGACTGACCTCACAATTACAAGTTGGTACTAAGATAGCTAATACGAAAAAGGGAAGCCAGCACGCAACGAACGCGCCAGTAATTATTGCTAATGTTTTTGCCGCTTTTCGCTCCCTCTTGGAATCAGCGGCTTCTTTGGGTTTGCGTCGAACCAACGTCGGATAATAGGCTGCTGCGACTGCACCATAACCTGTAGTCGGTGGGTCCGCTTCTAAGCCGTTGATGCAGGATTGCTTCTCTGGACTGGTGTTGTTAGAGGAGACGTTTGTGATTCCTGTCGTAGTTGTTTCAGATATGGTCGGCAGTGGGCGACCAATAACTGCGACGACGGCGGCGGCAATTCCACCACTACCTCCGGCTGCAATTAGTGCTCCGCCCGCTGGTACAGGCGGTGGTCCTCGTGTAGTAGTACCTGGGCGTCTTCTTATTCTTTTCCTTGCAGTTTGATATATTCGCCAGTACAATATTAATATAACAAGTACTGGAAAGTAAAAGGAAGATGCAGTGGCAAATATCTGATAGCCAACATCCTGACTCACGACGCATCGCAAATCTTCAGAGACACGTCGATTCCAATCAGGATCTTTCCAACCCAATAATGGAGCTATACACACAAAGAAACTTGCGATCCATACACATGCTATCATATATCCTACTCGACGTGCGGTTCGTGCGTGAATATAATCGATGTTTGTTACAGCCCAGTACCTGTAAAGAAAATATTAACTTGTTACATAAATTCGTAACCGCAAAATCTAGGTATTTTGTAAAATCTCTAGAACATTTTAAATAAAACTATCTTTTCGGATTTTGTCGCGGATTTATTTGCATTTTTGTTTCCCGACGTTTCGAATGCTTTACAGCAATCATGGTCACGGGAGAGACTGAGGTGTTAGATGTCTCTAAGGTATTATATAGTTGTTACAGACAGCCTACCCACAATTAATAAAATGAATTCAAAAAATTGAAAAATGGCACTAAAGTACCTTACAATATTTTAACTTTTAAAAGTTAAAATATTGTAAAAACGTCGGGAAACAAAAATGCAAATAAATCCGCGACAAAAACCGAAAAGATAGTTTTATTTAAAATGTCAAATATTCGCGTAAATCTAAGAAAGTATTAAATCTCTAGAAGTATGATTTTTGGAAACAAATTTTAGGCTATAGAATATATAAAATATATTATATAAAAATCAAGGTAAAATATCAAAGTTCTACCTATCAAGAGCGATGGCGACAAGATGTAAAATTGAGGCCGTGCAACATAGGACGTCGCCTGAAGTCCACATGTCGCATAACTCAGGGCCTAAAGTCCAACGTTGGGCCACTTCGTACACCGCACCTAACGGCATCACTAAGCAAGCAACGAGCAGATCAGCGACTGCCAACGATAAAATAAGTTGATTGGCAGCGCTCCGTAAGTGTCGCTCGAGCAGTATCGCCGCTATCACAAATACATTACCTGTAACAAAATATTATTGATTATTTATAATGTTCATATAAATAGACATAAATATTAATGGTCGTACGTAAACGAATAATCCTATTTATCATTAGTTTTGTGAGAAATTATATTTGCTAAATTTATCGCTTTCAAATGAGAGTAGAAACATGTGTTATGATAATAATATGCTGAAGCTTACTAACAAATATGTGTAATGGCTTCCTGTTTTTGCAGTAAGAAATTCAGGGGAAAATATTAGTCACCAAAACAAAAATACTGTACCGACTACTGTTGCCAAGATTAGTAAGCCAAGGAGTATAGCTTTTGCTGCAGCGCGCAGTAGGGCAGTAGGGGAGTCAAAGGGCGCGGACGCCTCCCACCAGGTGGCATTGGCTGCTGTGGTATTCCATCCACTAGGTATCCATTCTGTGGCGTTCCAGGTAACATTCTGCACTGGCAAGCGGTATAGAGTCTCCCAATCCAACAGGTCATCGCTCCCGTCCGCGCCCTCCATAGCCTCTCACCGTGTCACTTCACCACCGACTGAGTAACAAAGCACATTATAAGTTGTTTAGCACGTACAATTTCTTAACTAACGCCAGTTTGTAGAACTTATTAAGTAAACGTGCTATTAAAGTGAAAGTTTTGAGGGTATTTATTTTATAAAGCCTAATTTTCAATACATAAAAAGGTAATATTTTTTTGTTGTTGAAGTCAAATATTTTAATCATAATAGCCGAGCTCTAGAAGAATTGTGATTTCTTAAAATGTTTTAATTTTCTTAAACAAAATATAAGGCTTATCGAATCGAAGGTAATTAATTAATGATTGCCCTTTACCGACGATATTTTAATAAACAAGCCTTTTATGTTATTTTTGTAGTTTTTTATGGTGCATTAGGAAATTAATATTAAACATTCAAATTATATTCGTATAACAAGCATAGTGATTTTCGCGCGGAAGAGTATAAGATTTAGTGTGCACATTTAACCCGATTAAACATATAATACTTGTGTTTATATTTCTAAGTATGAATTTCGCATATATATTCAATATTTTATATACATTATAAATTATATTTCAAAACATTTATAAATGTTCATAACAGATTAAAACCAAAATAATCTATACAAGTAATAAAATTGTAACTAAGCCGAATCTGTACATTAGATATTTTTTGGAAAATCTTATTGAAATAAACATTATTATCGATACAGAGGCCGAATCTTTAGTTTTTAGAATTTTTGTCTGTCTGTCTATTACCGCATCACAGAAAAACCACTGGAGGAATTTTGATGAAATTTGGTATGGTGATAGCTGGTTATCCGGGTCAACATAAAGGATACTTTTTACTGCGGGAAAATATCTCATTTTTGAGAAAAAATACAAAAACTGTAATGTAAGAGTATACTAATATGTAAAACCTAAGAATTTGGTTTTTGGTCATCTGAACGCGGGCGGAGCCGCAGGCAATACTAGTTATGGAATATATAATAAAAAAATGCTCATATATCAAAACATTAAATAAAAAGCTCTTATACATATACTCGTAGGTATAATAGATACATACATATATATAGGTATAATAAATAAAATAGGTATTTTTTTGAGTCAACCGGTTTTATTGAAAAGAAAGATAATAATAATGTAGATAATGTACTAAAAGCTAAACCTGAATAAATAACCGCCCCGTTACGCCACGCTCCACGATTTTATTTTTGAGTCTCATCAATGCCCTAGATTGATGAGAAGAGTGGCGTGATGACTGGTACTTAGGACCTACCTAATTATTTTTTTAGCTTTTAGTACATTATCTACATCATTATTATCTTTCTTTTCAATAAAACTGTTTAACTTAAAAAAAACTTATTTTATTTTTAAGATTTTATTTTTTTAATTTTATACTGTCTAAATTCTATTATCCGTCATACCCTGTGTTCTACTTGTAAAGCCCTTTTATTTAATACACATTTCGGGGGGGATGTCATTAGAATTAAAGGTGTGTACCAAATACCAGATCAATCAACAGGAAAGGAGTAAAATCTCAATTAGGTACTTTTGACTCAAACGAACAGGACGAGCTAAATAAAACCGCTTAAATAGTAACTTAGCGAACTCTGTATATGAAATATTTTGTATAAAAAATGACTGTAACACCGTATTAAAAAATATTTAAAAAAGCTTGGGCTCATTTGAAGAATTTTACTATCAATTTCCTAGCTACATCACCAGATCAGCTCGAAGGTATCAAGTTATTCTATTGTCATTCGGATGTTACATACTTTCAAAGTTCCAAATCAATACAATAATTAGAAAAAGGTTAGAACTGACCCCCCAGGATTTGTTTACATATCTATGTATGTTGAATAAAAGTATTAAATAAAGTGTGGGCCATGTTAGATATTGGTACAATTTTTGTTATTTAAAACATATTCGAAATATTCAAAATACCATTTACTTACTGTTTATATGATATTTTCGAAGTAAAATGTTTAAAGTTATGTTCGTCATTTTGGAATACGTTTTTCTATCGGTAGTGCTGCCAGTCTGAAACAAAAAACAAATCTTTATAGCTATGTACACTTCTGATAAAAATATGCAAAGAATTGATTAAATCGTAACTGTAAATACATAATATTTACATACAATAATAAAAGTTATGTTTCTTTATTATGTAGAGTAAATATTGGTAAATTATATAGAAAATATAATCTATTTAAATAAATGAATCAAAGGGAGGAGAGGAGTAAGAGTGAGCAGAAGTCGTGAAACAACGATTAAAAATAACAAAAAAAGTGCGTATGTGTGCAATTCACACATGGTAGAAGTGAAACTTCAGAAAGTAACCTACGATAGAATGAGATAAATATAGAGTATCAGGAGTAGGATAATTATTATAAGGTTTATTTTTTTAGAATATTTTTAACAACATAAAAAAGTTATTTCACATTTTATTGACATAAATATACATCACATATTATTCAGTAATTAATTTTATTATTTTTCACTTCCTGTATAATGTATTCTATCTCAAATAAATAAATAAGGCTATTAGGCATATTATAAATCATATACGGAACGATGTAGATATTGTATATTTATCAGGGAATAACAAGGGTTACCATGGCAACATGGCAATGTATTCTATATTATGTATATAACTATATTCTAATCCCGGCTTAATCCTATATTATATTATTATATTTTTATATTTGTGATACTAAAAAGTTGTCGCATTTCCGTTTCATCGAGTTTCAAATCACAACGACTATAAATAAGTTTCACTTCAATAAAACATAGATAAGAAAGAATGTGATACTTATACGTATGTATCTTCAAAGTCTAAACAAGGAGTCAATGCGTTGTAATGCTTGAAGATGATTATATTTTCTCAAATAATGCGATCAAAATCGCAATTTTTACGTAAACCTTTCTCTTAGAATGAGGCTTAATGCGTGACAAGGGTACGTGAGACGTCTTACCCCTTCAAAATACGAAATAAAGTAAATGGTTTTTGGTTATCTTATTTGCTCAGACTACAGCGTCAATAGAATTAACGTAGACGAGTTTCGAGCAGGTAATGTATAGCTTTTATATCTTCAATATTTTCAATATGTGTAGGAAAATAATTCAAAGATGCCTCTTTATATTTGAGTGTACTTGGCCGAATACGACAAAACTTAGTCATATAAATATATTTTTTTAAATAGATTTTAACCTGTTTCACTGAAATTTGCTCTAAGTGATGTATGATAATGGACAAAGCATTTAAAAATAGTTAACTTCTTGTACATTTTAAGTTTCCCTCATTATAAGTAAAATAAGTTTAACTTTGACTGTGCTAATTTTACTCAATATATTGTATGTTAAATTCATTACCGCCTAAACATATAAAAACCATTTTATTTATTTTTTAAATTTATGTATTAAGAAAATTAAATATATTAAAAAGTAAAAGAGAAAAGCTTACATGAAAACAGTCTAACCAATGTCAATAGGTACATCATTCATAACCATTTTGAAAATATTTATCAGTCATTCATCGACTATATTTAAAAAGTAGACATAGTGATATCAAATATATGAAAATTTCATTATTGTGTTACCGGTAACTTGATAATATTGAAAAGTCAACTAAGTGCAATAGCCATCGTGCTACAAAAAAAAACCCTTGCTTTACTTTAGAAATAAAAAAAAATTAAAGAAATAAATTAATATTAGTCCCGCTGAGTTTCTTTCGCCAGTTCTCCCCAGCTGGTCTGGGGCTTCTTCTTTCCGAACTGGTAGTAGACTCATGACGTTCAATAATAAATTGTAATAATTTAATGCTGAATAAAATATTTTGAATTTTGAATTAGTCTCAGCAAATACTATTGTTTCGCAATTCGTATGCCCAACTTCGTTATATCTGTAAAAATTCTTCTGTTTTGACAAAATATTATACCTATGCATTTGAAAGTTTTTATCACCTAATAAACTCAAAAACGATGTTTGGTCTAGTATCATAAAAGAATAGACTTTATTATATACCCACATTTCTTCTTCGACTTCGTCTTTTGTACTTCTACTTTAATATTAAAAGTTTTAATAGAACTACATGCGCTGAAGGCTTCAAACTTTGAATTTGAACATCTATCTTGCTCAAGAACTTACCATTAAAAACCTGTTCGTTATTTTAAATATGCCTTTTTCTTAAATTGCTTTCGCGTAGGTAGGGCGAATGTTTATTTGAAGAAATAAAAGACTATTAATGGCACTCTCGCTATTGGGTTTCAATTTGCTGTCAATTTATATTTTTCTAATATAGTCTAGTCATTTAGTGCTTTAAAAATAGGGCTTAAGTTACTTAAAAGTTTTCTGAGTGTTTTAGACGTGATAGATATTTGACTTCAAAAAGTAGGACGTACTCAATTTATCTGTTTGATATTTTTAACCAATCGTAAGTCGATTTTCATAATTCTTTTTTTAATCAATATTTTATCATTTAAGAGTGACTTATGTATTACAAAAAAATCTATCCAGGTACCTAAATGAAATTATTTTTAAATCATTTTTAATTCGATGTACCTTTTTTACTTAAATTAATTATTAATTAACTACTACATCACACTACTATCAGGAAATAGCTAATTAATCAAAATGTAAGTATTCAATGTACTAATGTTTGTACATTAGGCATATCTTATATTTTTACTAAATTATTTTCAATTTTGGTAAATCCATAATGAAAAAAATCTGTCTGATAAAATTAAGATTTTAATGTAGGTATTTAGTTATTTGACTGCAAGGAAGTAATAAATTAAATTAATTTGAAATCTGTTTTCAAAACCAATATTATTAAAGTTGGCCGCAAGGTTTACATTACCCTGTTTTAATGATGATTGAAAAGTAAACTTACTTCCCTCGTCCGATCTGGCCTTTATATTATTTCCGGCCGTGACCTTCCTTTACTGGACCTAGACCATGACAGTTGGCTCGTAGTTCTCTCACTCTAATTAAAAAGCTTTTATAAGC